GCTTTTCCCCTGAGGGAGTGGGCGAGTCATTTCTGGGCGGGAAGGAAACCCCCGGGGAGGGGAGGTGGTGCGGGGACACTCTGCGGGCTCCTTCCTGGCTCTCCTCGCCATGCAGTCCCCAAAGAGCATGGCCTGGGGTGGCCCCTGTGAGGTGAGGCTGGAGCTGGCATGCTCCTGGGCCACCTCACACTCCATCGCCTTCTCACTACAATGAGCGGGCCCGCAGGAACCGGACGAGGAAGGCCTGGGCAAGCTCATCTTCAGCCCAGATGAAGAGTTTGAGCAGGAGGAAGAGGAGTCCTCCGAGCCCATGGAGGTCGGTGCCTGAGCCCCTGCCCGCTTCCCCATTTCCCGACACACACACACTGGCTTCGCCTCCCTTGCCCACCCCATTGTCGCTTCCGCGGAGCCTTGCATTCAAGGTGGAGAATGGGGAAGGGTTTCCCATCACTCCGCTATAGACGCCCCTACACGAAGGAATACGGCAGCCAGGCCGGGTCGGGGTCACACTGCTCCATCCCTACAGGGGCTAATAGGGCTCCCCCCTCCCATTTGTGCATGCACCTGTGTAAGGGGAATTACAGGTGTCTTTGTTGGAGTGGTCGAGTGGCTCTTATGCCTAGGAGCACAGACAGGGGCCCCCTGGGAGAGGCACAGTTCTTGGGAGGAAGCGAGGTCATTGCCCTCTGCTCCGGCTCCAGCCTGCTCCTGGCTGCTGGCCGCCATGGTGAAGCCACCTCCCCTCCGCTCAAGGCCAGGCTCAGCCAAGAGGTGGGTGTTTCACGCATGAGCGGAAGCGGCGTGTCACGCATGCGCACAAGTGCGACACGCCCACCCGTGGGCACGGGGGTGCCCCCACCCACCAACCGGTCCGCGCAGGGAGCCAGCAGCCCCAAACCAGTCCGTGGTCTGAAAAACGCTGAGGAACACTGATTTACACCATACTAAGATAAAATACCCATTTGGTTTAGAATCCTATACTGTACCCACCTATCTGGGAGTGAACCTCATTAAATTCAACAGGATTTACTTTTTAGAAGACATAAACAAAATATTCTTGAGTTAGCATTTTTCTAATTAGAAGAAATATAATTGGACATTATAAACTCTGAGTAATTATTTCAAAACTTCCAAGCTGCCACATTTCTACTTACTTTCTTACTCTGGAAACTAGAAAATGGGCTATATTAAGAGGAAAAGGTCAAATTTACTGCACTGCGTAACATTTATATGCATCCATTCATGTCTGTAAAAACTGAAAGACAAAACTGGTTTTGAAAGTAAATATTTGCAACAAAACCTGTAATTCTAAAATTTTAAACTTTGAACAAGCACACTGTACGGAGTAGTGGGTGAAAAGGAGCATTCTTCCAAAACACAAATCTCTCCAAAATCTGGTGCCAAGTCAGTATTGTGAGATAAAGACTAATGATTGAGACAACACAAGTGAGATAAGGAAACTCTTTAGATAAGCAGTAGAAGTGGTTCATTGCTCTGGTAGAGTAGCTTGGAATAATTAACAATGGAATTCTTATACTTCAGCATGGTCATCTTTACAATCTGTCTGGCAACATGTTGTGAGGAAATTGGAATTCCTTTTCAGAGCCATAGCAATCTGTAAAACATAACCATTCTTTGAACATAAGTATGCAGAATGGCATGCGGAGGGAAGCAGAGTCATGTGTGTACGCCCAGCTTAGCGGGAACCTTGGGTGAGGGTAAAGTTCCCACTGGTGTATGCCTTGTTGGGATCTGTCAAGTTGGTTGATCAGATGGTTCATTCTCTCATACACATGCACTGCTCACAAAAACTACTGTCATGAATGCACCAATGCAAAAAGTACAGCAGTACTGATTACCACCCTGTTTGCGTATTAATTTATTTTTATCTTGTTTTTAATATTATTTCTTATATTATTGTTAGCTGCCCAGATGACAATGAAGTTGTCTGTGGGCTATGATCCTGGCAAATAGTGGGAAGATTATTTCACAGTCCTCGAAGACTGCCAACAACTATACAAAAACTGATATGGTATTGGGCTTCTCTTGGTGTCTCTTCTCCTTCTGTGCATTGATGAAGACGATGGCAACCCAAGTCTTTCTTAGATTCTTCCACTACTAACATCAGACGAGGCTGGATGTGTGTGAACAGCACATTGTCTGAGATAGTCAGCAGTTGAATGCATGCCTAGAAATGAGTGGGCAGGGGAGGCTCCCACCAGTGGAAAGCATGACAGAAGGAGAAAGAGTGAGCCAAAGTTGTTTCAAGTTGCAAACTGGATAGTAATAATAGAAAATCAGGGTTGCAGAGCCTCATGTAGAGTTTTGCAAAGCAGAGGACCATAACAGTGGATGTACAGTAGTGAGTTCAAGAAACCTAAGGATTATATGCACTGCTGAATCTTTGCAAAGGACAATGGTATCATGGTGATCTGTCAGGCTCTGACTCCGGAACAGATTTCAAGGCTGATTATGAAATCAACTTGGCTCCTATAATAATGACATCCTCAGCAAGAATCAGGTGAGGTTTTTTTCATGCTGAGGCAGAGGCCAAAGTCCTGAAAAAGGGATAAGACAATGTCAAGACCCAGTCACTGATGAATGGAATGGGATTATGTCTTAAATAAGTATCTTTCAAATTTGTCATACTGAACCAGTCATCTTCCGGTAGAAGGAGAAGATCAGTAACAGTCACTATTTGGAAGCACATTGTTGTAATATATTTGCCAATAACCTATAGATTAAGAATAGCTCAAAGACTTTTATGCTGCTTCGATATCATGAAGTACTGTGAATCATAGCTGGCATGATGTGGATGTAGGTTCAATGACTCCTTTATGAGGAGGTTGAATCCGGACAAGACAGAAATCTTGTATGTGGGTGGCCTCGGCGTCAGTAGGTTGGGAAACCTTTAGGGGGTGACTCTTCCCACGAAGAGTGAGGTTCGCAGATTGGGCATCTTCCTGGACCCAGATCTCCCCATGGAAACCCAGGTGGC